CAAAAAATCCTATTTTTAATGGAAGGACCAAGCATATTCATGTGGAGTACTATTATATTCATGACTTGGTTATTGATGGTGAGATTGAGATCTTGTATTGTTGTTCAGAAGTTCAAGTTGCAGATGTTTTTACCAAGCCACTTAAATCTGATGTGTTCGTGAAACTAATTAGATGATGAGAATGATCAAAATTGAAGAGTTTGGTTCAAGGAAAGCTGTTGGAGTTTGATCCAAACTCTCCAAGTGTTTTATTCTTTATTAATTTAGCATTAATTTACAATTAGTGTTTTAATGAGTTTAAAAGTTTTAACCCATGTAATATCCTAGTGAGTTTAGGATTAGTTTATTAGTTAAAGTCTTAAAAGTCTTCCTTTATTTGGTAACCAAAATATTTTTGGCAGAAGCTTTGTTAGAGAATCTTTGATATTGGAAGATTGTTTTCTTTTATCTTTTGATGTGAACCTTTGATGCCGGCCTTTTTCTGTTCTTTTATTTCTTGTTTTATTTTCTTGGGCTTTGATTAAGTTATTGTGTATGTGTGTGTGAGATATTTGAGTGCTTGATATTATTTTGAGATCCTAAACATCATACAATAACTTTATGACACACACACACACTCACAAGAGGAGCAACAACATCAAGGTGAAAGTATAGATTACTTTTGCCCAATCTTAAAAAGGGCTCTTTCGCATATTGGTTGGTAGTTATAAAATTCATAAGGAAAATTACTCGACAGCCAAGAACACCATTGTCCACATCAGAGAGAATTAAAGAGATACAGAGAGAGGGGGAAGTGAAGAGAGGAAGGGCGGCTATTTGTTCTTCATCGACTTATGAATATGCAAGAGAGAGAGAGAGAGAGAGAGAGAGAAGTATTGCAACACTGAAATTTTGTTGTTTAGTTGCAGCGTAGAGGTGATTGATGAACAAGTAATCAACCCTACAACAACCATAATGATTTGATAGTAGATACAAGAAAACCATCAAACCCCTGAACATATATATATGTTGCATGCTGCCTCAAAAGGATGTCTAAAATAAAGGATATAACCGAAGGGGAAACGAAAAAGAAAGAGGAACGGAAGGGACATGGAGAGAGACAGGAATGGGTGAGAAGCAAATTGGATGTGATGATAAGGTTTAGTGTGGCATTAATTATAGAGGATAAGGATGGTATAGTTACATTAGTGGAGGGTAAATGTGAATTTTTTTTCAAGTATTCTGGTATTTTACAATAGTATAAATTAGTATATTTGTACCAATCACTTATAGCCAATAGGTCATACTCGAGATGAGTTTAGATTCCTTATCCAAGAAGCCATAAACTACGAGTTTAAAAATCAATCTCGTTAAAAAAATATTTTTTTTAACTAAATATCAATATAAGCAAATATACTTTATAAAGATTAGGACCTTTTAGATTCACAAATCATACTTCACAAAACCAAAATAAGATTGATTATTTTATGTAAAATAAGGTTCCACTTAAATTTGTGAGAGTGATTACTATTAAAAAAAATTGAAGAAAATATTTTTTGATATTGGGATCGAAACTCTATTTATTTGGCCAGTGTGTTTGGCTTGGATCTTTATTGGTTGCACACACACACACACACACATATATATACACTAGAGATAACTTGTGTCTGAAGTTACGGTATAACGTAAATGAGAAATAATGGATTTGGGTGAGGGGAGAATTCAATATATTGACTTTTGAGAGAGATATTGGTGACCGTTAGACGAGACTATTTAAGACTATCGGATGAACTTATTAAAATCTGTTATATGTTATATTATAAATATAGATTATAGATATTGAAATGTAGTAATCAACAATATACAGGGTCTCAAAAAAAAATCAACAATATAAAGCAATATCTTACTAGATCACCATCTTTATGTACAATCTATCATAAACCGGTGCCAAAATAATAGCGATGTTATTACGAAACTTTCTTACTCTTCTTTTGTTTTCAACATTTTTAAGTTTTTGGAATTCCATAAAGAAAGCTTTTGAGGTTGACATTGTTTATTTAGGACTTCAGGTTATTTTCAAAAAGGTAACGATACTTTGGACCTATAAGATCTTTAAAATTTTAATTTATGTTCTAAAATATTAAAATTTTTATATTACACCCTGAATTAGATAAAAAAAACAATAATAATGTGTCCTAAAATTAATGATGTGTTTGGTAAGATGAATGGAAAAAATGGAAGGAAGTAAATGAGGGTGATACACTTTCTATCGAGGGAGGAATCATTCATTTCCCTCATTTGTGTTTGATAGAAGGGATGAAAAGTGTGAAGAATTTATTTTTTTGTGTTTGGTAGGATGAAAAAATAGAATGATGGAACATCGAGGACTAAATTTGAGCACGAAATAATGAAACACTAAACTCGGACGTGTACTAAACTAAAAGCCTAAACTATCCCTATAATCCGTGCCTGAAATTGTGCAATTCAAAAAAAAAAAAAATAATGTTTTTGAAAACAAAACAATCAAACACTTAATATAGACACACTAGAAATAAAAAAACATTGAATATTAATCGTGAACACAAAATAATCAAGTATTAAATTTAGACCGACACTAAGTTGAAAGCCTAAAATACATCATTTAATACATCTTCATTTTACATAAATGATTAACAAAATATAACTTATATGAAAAATAAAAATTATAATAATAAATCGTGACAACCACTTTTTTTTTTTTTTAAAAATGGACAAAACTCAAACCCAAAAAATAAAAATTCACACCTCAATGATATTATCATTCCAAAAATTTCAACCACTATGCACAATTTATATTCTCATTTTATACCAACTAAAGATCAATTTTACACCAATGATATTAAAAAAGACATGCAGATAATCTCCTTTCATTCCAACTAAAGATCAATCGTTCAAATGTCAAGTTCACCAAGAAAGCATGTTAGAGGATAATTATGAAAATAAATCACTCAATCAACCAAACTACGTAATTTTATAAAAAACATAAAAACATAAGACATTCGTACATGCTGACAACAAAGAAATGTTATTAGCATTGTGGAAATTGAACTTATTTATATAGTTTATCCATACAATTAAAGTAAAAGCCCACTGACATAAACAATGAAAAATCTCCCAAAACTAAAATTTAGATCAAATATAGATGCAGGATACACCAATAACAGCAGAAAGAGAAGGTGTCGCCGGCAGAACAAAGTCCCAGACCATCAAACTTAGCTTTATGCGTATTGAAAGGTTTGAAATAGCATCTTCATCCATCATATCCGCCGGCCCATTATTTGAAAAGAAGTCAGCAAATGATGGCGGCAGAAGAACTCTTCTTAAAGATATAGTTGCAGATTTCACTCTTTCTACGTACAATAACAAAAGCTCATATGAACAACTTATATAACAAACCCAGGCTATCGGAGCGTATAAAATCGGATGGTTTTCCATCAATGGGTTCCACCATGTAAAGACAATTCCTAAGTTCTCTGTAAAGTTGATGCTTCTCAGCTTTGCCCAGGCTTTGCGATGTATATTTGTGTTGATTCAGATTATGCCAAATTTGAGTAAACAATTAGTTGCATCAACCATCCTGACTTTCCTATTTCAAGTATCAAAAAAATTGCACAGTCCAAACAGAGACAATTAATAAATGAAATCTCACATAACAAAACTAATATTTAACTGGAGTAAAGAGGATAGACTATCACTCTGCGTTTCCTTTGGTAGCAGTAATGACGAACTCCCCTTCATATTGACCCGGGGGGTGTGCACTTGGAACATCTACAAAAACCCAAATTGCAGTTGTTTCTCTGCACAATAAGAACCATCTTTATTAGAAGGAATGATCTTATCTAAATATACTCCACATTAGCATGTCATACAGAGCACCAGCATATTTTAAATGTCAGACTATTACCCAAGAAGTAGGTTTATTTGAAAATAAAACTCTAGGAAAATAGTCTTTATTTGCAGAGGAGAGATCGGTGAGAGAGTGAGAGAGGAAATAAGGGTCCTGGGTCTTTATCCAGAGAGTAGAGAGAGAGTGTTTCGCAAGGGATGAAGTGCTTGCGGGTGCCGTGTGTGTACAGCTAGGCGGGATTTGAGTTTTGGATGGGATTGAAGAAGATTCGAGAGATTATGGAGGGGAGAGATCTGACTCAAAAAATGTTGTTAGGCGGGAAAATAAAATTTAATATTTATGATAGATTGTCAGATTAAAATTTTTGAGATGATCTGAACCGTCTTTTATGTTGAAATTATGTTATCCGTTGAATGTGTTTATGTTTTATCTTAAAACGATCTGGATCTCTCTTTATCTTTTGGATTCAAATTTCGTTTTAATTTATTATATAAATATCTTACTATTATATCTATATATGAAATTAACGTATACATAATTTTAAATTTATAAATATGATATTTGTATATATTAAATGAAATACGGACAAATAATATACATTTTAAAACACATAATTAATTTTTCATTCATTTTTTCTCTTAATTTTAGAGGGTTTGATTTTGATGAATTAAAATAAAAATTAATTCATTTATTTTTTCATCACTTCTATTTTTTTTCGTTACCAAACATAATATTTTACCTATTATTCAAACTTTTTATTATTTTAATTTTTCTTTCTTTTATTTTTTTATCTTACCAAATAAAACAAAAATGTCCATTATTTTGTCCGAAATTCCTTTTTTGCAATATTTTTATATTGTCTTAATTTGTTACACATTTTTTTATACATTTTTTGATATTAAGTATCGTGTCACTCGCCCTCTTTAAAGCTTAAAAATGTGTGCAGGTCATTAAAAAATCCAGAGAGTCCACGAGAAACGGACTGGGAGAAGTACTCACCCGCACAGCCCAAACTGTCATACTCTCGTGAAACCAGCTTTCAATTGCTTGTGTGCTGCTGTTTCTTTCTTCTCTACTAAAAGACACTTTCTCCGGTCTCCCCGCTGAAAATATCATCTCTCTCTTCAGTTGCACACGTGTACTCATTGTTACTTTGCATTACTTTAGAGTTTAGCCCAAAAAAATCTTTAGTCTCTAGTAGCCTAGTAGAATGTGAGATCTATACTCGTTTCTTCATCTCTGATAGCATTGTCTCTTTGTTTCTTCGATACTACAAACCCAACCTTCAGATTCCCTTATTTGCTCTTCACTCTCCTCCTCTTCTTGATAAACTCCAGATTTTATTGCAAAATTTGGTGACAAAGTGACTTTGATTTCAAGGAAAGGTGACGACTGCTATATAGCTTAAAACGGTTTTGATTTTTTCGAGTCTTCGATTCAGATACATAACAAGATGGTCAATATTTGATTAGTCTTTTATTACCACTCCGTGTAATCCAATCTGGGTTATCTCAAATTTCAGTTACTCTGTGTAGTTGTGTTTTTCCTCACGGAAGTTCAAAAGATTATAGGTGGGTTTTGCACCATTTTCAGGGAAATTTGGAAACAAGTGACTTTGATTTCAACTAAAGGTGACAATTGCTATTATTTCTAATGGGTTTTATTTTTTGGACCCAGATTTTGTATATAACTCAGTTTAGTAGACAATGCTCAACTTGGACTAGTTTTTGATTCGTTTTTGTTATTTTCAATCTTTAATGTTTTGAATTTCCTGGACTCCTATGTAGAATCTAATAAATTACTGCTGGGATTTGATAGATTTTGAGAAATTTCATCCGGGTGCAATCCATTCTTTTTGCGTAAAATGGTGAATTTGGGATTATTTTCTGGGAACAAGCCTGTGAAATCTGCAATTGTAAGCTTCAGAATACCTTATTATACCCAGTGGGGGCAGAGCCTTCTGGTATGCGGTTCCGAACCAGTGCTTGGGTCGTGGAATGTGAAGAATGGTCTTTTGTTGAGCCCTTTTCACCAAGGTGATGAGCTAATATGGTGTGGACGTATACCTGTCCCGGTTGGGTTTGGATGCGAGTACAGCTATTATGTGGTGGATAATGAAAGAAATGTCCTGAGATGGGAGAGTGGAAAGAAGAGGAAAATGTTACTGCCTGATGGGGTTCAGGCTGGAGGGTTGATGGAGCTTCATGATCTTTGGCAGGTGCTGCTTTGTTTTGTGTGTGTGTTTTATAAATTTAATCCCTTACTTGTTTCTCTTTCTAGGTGAAATCTTTAGTTTGTTGCAAGAATCTTTTTGTTCCTAATGTTTTTAAAAGACAAAATGTTATGAAGGAAACATTCAGTCGAAAATACACCTGCGTGATTCCCTTATATGTTGGGTTGTTAGGGTAATCAAACTTTTGGAATCTTTTTTAAAGGAGTCAGTGAAGTGTGAATAGAGAACAAACTTGTTGGAATTAGCGTTCCTTCGTACAATTTTCCAGTTAACTTGGATGTTCTGTTATGATAAGCTCTTTTTGGAATATGACAAGCATCCCATGTTTAGAAGTTGTGATGTTCTCAGTTCTCTTTTTACTTTCTTTTCCTCGAGTTCTTGGCGACCGTAGGGAGTATTAGTTGTTTCCAACTTTCTGACCTGAATTCTGAGTACTATGTTATTATGACATTTACTTTTCCGGAATTAGATATACACCTGCTTTTGTGGCAGTTTTACCGATGCCCATTGATTTTGGGCAGGAATGCCCAGAACATGGTTGTTAACCTGTACAGAGCTGCTGCACTGTATTGCATGTATGAGTTGGATGGGACTTGTATGAGGGAAAGGTGAGCAGGCACTTCCTTACTCTTTCTCCCCCGAGATCAGGTCTTTCTAGTGCTAGGATAACATTGGTACCTTGTACAGGACTTCAGCTTATAAGGATATGCCCAACTCCATTTACTTCTTGGATTTGAGGGCTTTCTCATCTTCAAATGCCTAAGTCTGTTTATTCATCCAAAGATAGAGTGATCTATGGTGTGCAACATGTTTCCGGAGCTTTTGATCACGTGCAATGTAATGTTTTTTTTTTTTGGTGAGAAAGAGCACATGTACTTAGTAGGGTTCTACACCCCATCTATCATCTCTTGTGAAAGCCTAATACCCTCCTCCTAGCCATCTTGGAGTAAGCGTCATCTAAGAGCCTCCTCCCAACCACCTTGGAGTAAATGTCATCCCAAGAGCCTTCTCCTAGCCAACTTGGAGTAAGAGCCCTCCCAAGAGCTTTATCCACGCCACCTTAGAAGAAGTCAATCACCACTTCCTCCTTTGGCCGAATTTTATGGAGAGTACTGTAACTATCTCATCTGTTGAGAAGAGGTTGCCAGTTCCACCAGAATAACTACTTAGTTACTATTAAGTCGCCTTAATCTGTTAAGAGGTGACTATAAATTATAAGTCCCACCAACACTTGGGGGGCAGATCACACTCGGTCGAGCACAAGTCTCCTCTCCCTTTCTAAGCTTGTAACTCTCAGCTCTCCTTATGCACTTAAGTGAATAAAATACCCGATGATCCTAGCAATTCAAAGTGGACGTAGGTCACGTTGACCGAACCACTAGAAACCTTGTCTTCGCTCTCTACTTATTTATTGCATTTTATACTGTTTACTTGACTGGTAGTGTGCAAAGCCAATTTTTGCATCATCAGTTTGGCCGCATCTGTGAGAACGACAAAATTCTCACTTAATTACCTTTCTTGCTGTACCAATGACGATCACCACCAGATCCATGAATCAAGCTTAAAACAATCCAGCACGAGAGGAAGAGGTTGCTCCTCCACCAATCAATTCCGTTCTGAATGCATAATAGATGCTAGAAACAATACATTAGCTTGTAGATCAGAACTAGCAGATTTTGCAATTGATGCTCGTTGGACAACAAGGAGGAGCACAACCTGTGATATCCTAAGCCAGAGGAGCTCCACGCCCTGTGCGTCAAGGAGTTTCCCACTTGGGCGCCCCTTTGGGCGCTCTATACAAGGGAGCCCCTTTGAGCGCCCCATACAAGGGAGCCCACCATGAGGGACCTCCACTTCCACCTCAAACTCCCTCTTCCGGAGATCCCCATTTCCAAGAGCTGGAGGGCAAGAATAAAAATGTGGAGTATGGGAGCTATTTCATGACAATTCCAAAGGAGTCCTGAAGCACTGGGAAGAAAAAATCAAAAGAAATACAGAATCAACTGGGCGACGTCGCCATGAAGGTACAAGGACCAGAAACTGAAGACTACGTTGTAAGGCGAACTGACACACCTTTTGTGCCATATGTGGTGAACTCTCCTCTTCCCCAAAAGTTCAAAATTCCATCTATAAAAACTTTCGACGGTACAAAGGACCCATTTGATCACCTCGAAACCTACAAGACCTTAATGCAGTTGCACAATGTCTTCGACGAAACTATGAGTAGGGCATTCTCAACTATCTTGAAGGGATCAGCGCGACAATGGTTCGCCAAACTCACTCCGGCTTCCATAGGCTCCATCGCCAAACTGAGAAGATCATTTATGGCATAGTTTATTGGTGGACGCCACCGACAGAAGTCTGCCACTTATCTATTCAGCGTAAAACAGGATCGAGACGAGAGTCTGAGGAGTTACCTCACTTGTTTTAATGAAGAGGTCCTCCAAATCGAGGAGCCCAATGACAAAGTCACCATGACTGCCTTTTTGGGAGATTTCTGCTCATCTAGTTTCCTCTTTTCAGTAATGAAGCGATCACCAAAGAGTTTGTCAGAATTATTGGTAAAAGNCGCCTTTTTGTGAGATTTCTGCTCATCTAGTTTCCTCTTTTCAGTAATGAAGCGATCACAAAAGAGTTTGTCAGAATTATTGGTAAAAGTTCAAAAATATATGAATGCTGTGGAAATCAACAGGTTCAGGCGAGGTGAATCATCTCGCAGATCGCCAAAAGCTTGACCTGCCTCTGCACTGCTTTCAAGCAGGCAGCTGATATATCCAGCTTAGTGGCTCTCTCGTGGGTCGCCAAAAGCTTGGCCTCTGTAATACTCTCAAGCAGACAACCTATATATCCAGCTTAGCGACTCTCTCGTGAGTTGCCAAAAACTTGGCCTCTGCACTGCTCTCAAGTAGGCTGCCTATATCTCTAGCTTAGCGGCTCTTTTGCGGTTCACCAAAAGCTTGGCCTCNGACTCTCTCGTGAGTTGCCAAAAACTTGGCCTCTGCACTGCTCTCAAGTAGGCTGCCTATATCTCTAGCTTAGCGGCTCTTTTGCGGTTCACCAAAAGCTTGGCCTCTGCACAGCTCTTAAGCAGGCAACCTATACCTCCAGCTGAGCGGCTTTCTCGCGAGTCGCCAAAAGTTTGGCCTCTGCTCTGCTCTGCTCTAAAGTAGGCAGCCTATACTTCTAGCTTGGAGGCTCTCCTATAGGTCGCCGAAAGCTCAGTCTTAAAAGGTGCAGCGCTCACACGAGCAATCCTCAAACTCTGTTTTTGTTCTCACTCAAGTAGTCTGTCTTTCTCTCCAGGNCCACATTAGCATGTCATACAGAGCACCAGCATATTTTAAATGTCAGACTATTACCCAAGAAGTAGGTTTATTTGAAAATAAAACTCTAGGAAAATAGTCTTTATTTGCAGAGGAGAGATCGGTGAGAGAGTGAGAGAGGAAATAAGGGTCCTGGGTCTTTATCCAGAGAGTAGAGAGAGAGTGTTTCGCAAGGGATGAAGTGCTTGCGGGTGCCGTGTGTGTACAGCTAGGCGGGATTTGAGTTTTGGATGGGATTGAAGAAGATTCGAGAGATTATGGAGGGGAGAGATCTGACTCAAAAAATGTTGTTAGGCGGGAAAATAAAATTTAATATTTATGATAGATTGTCAGATTAAAATTTTTGAGATGATCTGAACCGTCTTTTATGTTGAAATTATGTTATCCGTTGAATGTGTTTATGTTTTATCTTAAAACGATCTGGATCTCTCTTTATCTTTTGGATTCAAATTTCGTTTTAATTTATTATATAAATATCTTACTATTATATCTATATATGAAATTAACGTATACATAATTTTAAATTTATAAATATGATATTTGTATATATTAAATGAAATACGGACAAATAATATACATTTTAAAACACATAATTAATTTTTCATTCATTTTTTCTCTTAATTTTAGAGGGTTTGATTTTGATGAATTAAAATAAAAATTAATTCATTTATTTTTTCATCACTTCTATTTTTTTTCGTTACCAAACATAATATTTTACCTATTATTCAAACTTTTTATTATTTTAATTTTTCTTTCTTTTATTTTTTTATCTTACCAAATAAAACAAAAATGTCCATTATTTTGTCCGAAATTCCTTTTTTGCAATATTTTTATATTGTCTTAATTTGTTACACATTTTTTTATACATTTTTTGATATTAAGTATCGTGTCACTCGCCCTCTTTAAAGCTTAAAAATGTGTGCAGGTCATTAAAAAATCCAGAGAGTCCACGAGAAACGGACTGGGAGAAGTACTCACCCGCACAGCCCAAACTGTCATACTCTCGTGAAACCAGCTTTCAATTGCTTGTGTGCTGCTGTTTCTTTCTTCTCTACTAAAAGACACTTTCTCCGGTCTCCCCGCTGAAAATATCATCTCTCTCTTCAGTTGCACACGTGTACTCATTGTTACTTTGCATTACTTTAGAGTTTAGCCCAAAAAAATCTTTAGTCTCTAGTAGCCTAGTAGAATGTGAGATCTATACTCGTTTCTTCATCTCTGATAGCATTGTCTCTTTGTTTCTTCGATACCACAAACCCAACCTTCAGATTCCCTTATTTGCTCTTCACTCTCCTCCTCTTCTTGATAAACTCCAGATTTTATTGCAAAATTTGGTGACCAAGTGACTTTGATTTCAAGGAAAGGTGACGACTGCTATATAGCTTAAAACGGTTTTGATTTTTTCGAGTCTTCGATTCAGATACATAACAAGATGGTCAATATTTGATTAGTCTTTTATTACCACTCCGTGTAATCCAATCTGGGTTATCTCAAATTTCAGTTACTCTGTGTAGTTGTGTTTTTCCTCACGGAAGTTCAAAAGATTATAGGTGGGTTTTGCACCATTTTCAGGGAAATTTGGAAACAAGTGACTTTGATTTCAACTAAAGGTGACAATTGCTATTATTTCTAATGGGTTTTATTTTTTGGACCCAGATTTTGTATATAACTCAGTTTAGTAGACAATGCTCAACTTGGACTAGTTTTTGATTCGTTTTTGTTATTTTCAATCTTTAATGTTTTGAATTTCCTGGACTCCTATGTAGAATCTAATAAATTACTGCTGGGATTTGATAGATTTTGAGAAATTTCATCCGGGTGCAATCCATTCTTTTTTGCGTAAAATGGTGAATTTGGGATTATTTTCTGGGAACAAGCCTGTGAAATCGGCAATTGTAAGCTTCAGAATACCTTATTATACCCAGTGGGGGCAGAGCCTTCTGGTATGCGGTTCCGAACCAGTGCTTGGGTCGTGGAATGTGAAGAATGGTCTTTTGTTGAGCCCTTTTCACCAAGGTGATGAGCTAATATGGTGTGGACGTATACCTGTCCCGGCTGGGTTTGGATGCGAGTACAGCTATTATGTGGTGGATAATGAAAGAAATGTCCTGAGATGGGAGAGTGGAAAGAAGAGGAAAATGTTACTGCCTGATGGGGTTCAGGATGGAGGGTTGATGGAGCTTCATGATCTTTGGCAGGTGCTGCTTTGTTTTGTGTGTGTGTTTTATAATTTAATCCCTTACTTGTTTCTCTTTCTAGGTGAAATCTTTAGTTTGTTGCAAGAATCTTTTTGTTCCTAATGTTTTTAAAAGACAAAATGTTATGAAGGAAACATTCAGTCGAAAATACACCTGCGTGATTCCCTTATATGTTGGGTTGTTAGGGTAATCAAACTTTTGGAATCTTTTTTAAAGGAGTCAGTGAAGTGTGAATAGAGAACAAACTTGTTGGAATTAGCGTTCCTCGTACAATTTTCCAGTTAACTTGGATGTTCTGTTATGATAAGCTCTTTTTGGAATATGACAAGCATCCCATGTTTAGAAGTTGTGATGTTCTCAGTTCTCTTTTTACTTTCTTTTCCTCGAGTTCTTGGCGACCGTAGGGAGTATTAGTTGTTTCCAACTNTCACTTAATTACCTTTCTTGCTGTACCAATGACGATCACCACCAGATCCATGAATCAAGCTTAAAACAATCCAGCACGAGAGGAAGAGGTTGCTCCTCCACCAATCAATTCCGTTCCGAATGCATAATAGATGCTAGAAACAATACAGTAGCTTGTAGATCAGAACTAGCAGATTTTGCAATTGATGCTCGTTGGACAACAAGGAGGAGCACAACCTGTGATATCTTAAGCCAGAGGAGCTCCACGCCCTGTGCGTCAAGGAGTTTCCCACTTGGGCGCCCCTTTGGGCGCTCCATACAGGGGTGCCCCTTTGAGCGCCCCATACAAGGGAGCCCACCATGAGGGACCTCCACTTCCACCTCAAACTCCCTCTTCCGGAGATCCCCATTTCCAAGAGCTGGAGGGCAAGAATAAAAATGTGGAGTATGGGAGCTATTTCATGACAATTCCAAATGAGCCCCGAAGCACTGGGAAGAAAAAATCAAAAGAAATACAGAATCAACTGGGCGACGTCGCCATGAAGGTACAAGGACCAGAAACTGAAGACTACGTTGTAAGGCGAACTGACACACCTTTTGTGCCATATGTGCTGAACTCTCCTCTTCCCCAAAAGTTCAAAATTCCATCTATAAAAACTTTCGACGGTACAAAGGACCCATTTGATCACGTCGAAACCTACAAGACCTTAATGCAGTTGCACAATGTCTTCGACGAAACTATGAGTAGGGCATTCTCAACTATCTTGAAGGGATCAGCGCGACAATGGTTCGCCAAACTCACTCCGGCTTCCATAGGCTCCATCGCCAAACTGAGAAGATCATTTATGGCATAGTTTATTGGTGGACGCCACCGGCAGAAGTCTGCCACTTATCTATTCAGCGTAAAACAGGATCGAGACGAGAGTCTGAGGAGTTACCTCACTTGTTTTAATGAAGAGGTCCTCCAAATCGAGGAGCCCAATGACAAAGTCACCATGACTGCCTTTTTGGGAGATTTCTGCTCATCTAGTTTCCTCTTTTCAGTAATGAAGCGATCACCAAAGAGTTTGTCAGAATTATTGGTAAAAGTTCAAAAATATATGAATGCTGTGGAAATCAACAGGTTCAGGCGAGGTGAATCATCTCGCAGATCGCCAAAAGCTTGACCTGCCTCTGCACTGCTTTCAAGCAGGCAGCTGATATATCCAGCTTAGTGGCTCTCTCGTGGGTCGCCAAAAGCTTGGCCTCTGTAATACTCTCAAGCAGACAACCTATATATCCAGCTTAGCGACTCTCTCGTGAGTTGCCAAAAACTTGGCCTCTGCACTGCTCTCAAGTAGGCTGCCTATATCTCCAGCTTAGCGGCTCTTTTGCGGTTCGCCAAAAGCTTGACCTCTGCACAGCTCTTAAGCAGGTAGCTTATACCTCCAGCTGAGCAGTTTTATCGCGAGTCGCCAAAAGTTTGGCCTCTGCTCTAAAGTAGGCAGCCTATACTTCTAGCTTGGAGGCTCTCCTATAGGTCGCCGAAAGCTCAGTCTCAAAAGGTGCAGCGCTCACACGGGCAATCCTCAAACTCTGTTTTTGTTCTCACTCAAGTAGTCTGTCTTTCTCTCCAGGTAATCATGTTATATTTTTTTTGATGTTGGAATAACATTAATTTTGCCATTTCTAGACACTTTTTTGAAACTCAGGCCGTCTATAACTCACAGGCCCATCCATTCGGCATGTAGGCTCGTTGCCTCAGCACTCCCACACTTAACAACAAGCGCAAACAAGGCCTGTCTGCGCTTGTCTCCAAACAGCACTCCTACATCACGATCAACAAATTCACCATTGGATCGGCGCCCAGCACCTCTCAAGCGCCTAGCATAGGCACCCAACACCTCTTAAGCACCCAGCACAGGCGCCTAACACCTCTCAGGCGCCCAACACCTCTCAGGTGCCCAACCTAGACGCCCAACAGCCAGCTCGTCCACGCACCTAGTTTCCTGTTCGCTATTTTGATCATAACTGTTTCGTTATTCTAAATGGGACCCATAATATATAAAATCGAAACTTTCGATGAACCCTATAAGACTCATAGCCTTTGGCTGTGACTGATGTTGTTAAAAGTTCAAAAAAGGCCTAGAAACAGATGTTTTGGCCTCCTGAAATTTTAAAAAAAAAAAAAATTGTACGTTGAGCTGCCTGCTCGTCCAAAACATTGGCTGCTTGCCCAGAACCTGTCTGCTCGCCCAAACCGTGTGCCCAGCTCCCTGCTCACTATTTTGACTATAACTTTTGCTCCGTTACTCCAAATAGGGCCCATAATGTATCAAATTGAAGCTTTCGGCGAGTCCTACAAGACTCACAGCCTTTGGTTGTAATTGACGCTGTTAAAAGTCCAAGAAAGGCCTAGAAACAGATGTTTTGGTCTCTTAAAGTTTTTTCAATTGTGCGTTCAGCCGAAATTCAAATTCAACTGAATGCCCTCCTCTCCAAGTTCTATTGGACATAGGGCATTGAGGGACAAATGATAGGCCAGACCCAATGACCCAACTCATGCTACGAGCCTAATCTTAATTAAGAGTCCAAACATTTAAAGATCCAGTATCCAGTCCAAAGGGGTTCATACTCGGTCAAGCTCGCCAAGGNAGCTCGTCCACGCACCTAGTTTCCTGTTCGCTATTTTGATCATAACTGTTTCGTTATTCTAAATGGGACCCATAATATATAAAATCGAAACTTTCGATGAACCCTATAAGACTCATAGCCTTTGGCTGTGACTGATGTTGTTAAAAGTTCAAAAAAGGCCTAGAAACAGATGTTTTGGCCTCCTGAAATTTTAAAAAAAAAAAAAATTGTACGTTGAGCTGCCTGCTCGTCCAAAACATTGGCTGCTTGCCCAGAACCTGTCTGCTCGCCCAAACCGTGTGCCCAGCTCCCTGCTCACTATTTTGACTATAACTTTTGCTCCGTTACTCCAAATAGGGCCCATAATGTATCAAATTGAAGCTTTCGGCGAGTCCTACAAGACTCACAGCCTTTGGTTGTAATTGATGCTGTTAAAAGTCCAAAAAAGGCCTAGAAACAGATGTTTTGGTCTCTTAAAGTTTTTTCAATTGTGCGTTCAGCCGAAATTCAAATTCAACTGAATGCCCTCCTCTCCAAGTTCTATTGGACATAGGGCATTGAGGGACAAATGATAGGCCAGACCCAATGACCCAACTCATGCTACGAGCCTAATCTTAATTAAGAGTCCAAACATTTAAAGATCCAGTATCCAGTCCAAAGGGGTTCATACTCGGTCAAGCTCGCCAAGGGAGTAAGCAGGGACTTCAAGAGCCTCCCCCTAGCCACCTTGGAGTAAGGGTCATCCTAAAAGCCTCCTCTTAGCCAACTTGGAGTAAGGGTCATCCCAAGAGCCTCATCCACGCCGCCTTAGAAGAAGTTAACCACCACCACCACCACCTCCTCCTCCTTTGATTAAATCTTATGGAGAGTACCGTAAATACCTCATCCGTTGAGAAAAAGTCATCAGCTCCACCAGATTAGCTACTTAATTACTATTAAGTCGCCCCAATTTGTTAAGAGGCGACTATAAATTGTAAATTTCATCAATACTTGGGGGGTATATCACACTTAGTCGAGTATNTGCTGTTAAAAGTCCAAAAAAGGCCTAGAAACAGATGTTTTGGTCTCTTAAAGTTTTTTCAATTGTGCGTTCAGCCGAAATTCAAATTCAACCGAATGCCCTCCTCTCCAAGTTCTATTGGACATAGGGCATTGAGGGACAAATGATAGGCCAGACCCAAGGGCCCAACTCATGCTACGAGCCTAATCTTAATTAAGAGTCCAAACATTTAAAGATCCAGTATCCAGTCCAAAGGGGTTCATACTCGGTCAAGCTCGCCAAGGGAGTAAGCAGGGACTTCAAGAGCCTCCCCCTAGCCACCTTGGAGTAAGGGTCATCCTAAAAGCCTCCTCTTAGCCAACTTGGAGTAAGGGTCATCCCAAGAGCCTCATCCACGTCGCCTTAGAAGAAGTTAACCACCACCACCACCACCTCCTCCTCCTTTGATTAAATCTTATGGAGAGTACCGTAAATACCTCATCTGTTGAGAAAAAGTCATCAGCTCCACCAGATTAGCTACTTAATTACTATTAAGTCGCCCCAATTTGTTAAGAGGCAACTATAAATTGTAAATTTCATCAATACTTGGGGGGTATATCACACTTAGTCGAGTATAACTCTCCTCTCTCTCTAAGCTTGTAACTCTCAACTCTCCCTACGCACTTGAGTGAATAAAATACTTGGTGATCCTAACCATTCAAAGTGGATGTAGGTCATGTTGACTGAACCACTATAAACCTTGTCTTCTTTCTCTCTACTTATTTACTGCATTTAATACTGTTTACTTGACAAGTGGTGTGTAAAGCCAATTTGTGCATCATCAATTTCCTCTTATGATATGTTGCTCGTCTCAATTGTGATAAACAAGAAGATATTGCTCCATGCCTCAAGTCGAAGATCAAAATTTCGTTTTGGTGCACTGTTTCGGTCACCTAGGAAACAAAAACGTTTCGACCTGTTTCGGAAATAGAATGAAAAAAAGTAAAAAAATTAAGAATTATTTTTTCAAAATAGTAATCGAAATATGCAAAAATATGTTGAAATACCTTGAAACATTCCGAAATAATTGTACAAATGTATTGAAATATAACAAAACATTTAAAAATATTATGAAACACCTCGAAATATTAGAATNTGTTGAGAAAAAGTCATCAGCTCCACCAGATTAGCTACTTAATTACTATTAAGTCGCCCCAATTTGTTAAGAGGCAACTATAAATTGTAAATTTCATCAATACTTGGGGGGTATATCACACTTAGTCGAGTATAACTCTCCTCTCTCTCTAAGCTTGTAACTCTCAACTCTCCCTACGCACTTGAGTGAATAAAATACTTGGTGATCCTAACCATTCAAAGTGGATGTAGGTCATGTTGACTGAACCACTATAAACCTTGTCTTCTTTCTCTCTACTTATTTACTGCATTTAATACTGTTTACTTGACAAGTGGTGTGTAAAGCCAATTTGTGCATCATCAATTTCCTCTTATGATATGTTGCTCGTCTCAATTGTGATAAACAAGAAGATATTGCCCCATGCCTCAAGTCGAAGATCAAAATTTCGTTTTGGTGCACTGTTTCGGTCACTTAGGAAACAAAAACGTTTCGACGTATTTTCGAAACGTTTCGACCTGTTTCGGAAATAGAATGAAAAAAAGTAAAAAAATTAAGAATTATTTTTTCAAAATAGTAATCGAAATATACAAAAATATGTTGAAATACCTTGAAACATTCTGAAATAATTGTACAAATATATTGAAATATAACAAAACATTTAAAAATATTATGAAACACCTCGAAATATTAGAATTTCGATTCCAGTACTGATTTGTTTCGGTCTCTGTGGAAACGGAAATGTTTAGGATGTTTTGACCGTTTCGAAATGATATTTTGATTCTTGCCTTAAGTCTTCCCTCCTTATATATCGAAGTAGGATTTTATTTCAACAAAAATTGATGGCTTCACTTTGCATTTATACCTCAAATATGGATTCGGATCACGCCCTTTTAAATTGATCTTCTTGTTTTGATTTAATCAACCCAACAACCAAAGTTCCAATGGGCCTAGAATTGCCGCTTATAAGATGGGCCACAATAAAAACAGGGCCACGAGACTCAGATTTGGCTTCACATAAAACGATTGGTTGGATGGATGGTAGATGATCTACTTCTAAATACCTCAACTATGCGTAGTGTCTGTGTGTAGTGCAAAAAAGATTGACATGATCAGTACGCCAAAAGTTAGATTAGTATGATGATTAAGTGGCTGGATGCGTGGAAATAATTTGCAGTGTCTTTTTGTTGACATGTTCAACTTTTGAATCCATGAGGATAGAGCCTTTGAGATCATTAACTGATATATTGAGCACTATTCTTTTAGAGATGCCAACAGTGTTCCAACACTGCTAAAAGTGTTTCAAGTAGCATAAAGTTAAATCTATAGTCCAAAATTTGTTGCATCTAACTAAAAGGTCAAGGTTTTTGCTGGTTGTCACTGTTTAAAATCAGATCCTTTGACTATTGGATCAATCAATTTGTAGATTGTAACCACCCAAGTTGGTAGTCTAGTAGTAAGTTATACCCATTTAGGGTTGTCTTTGACTTCCATGTGGTTATAGAAGGGTTCGATTCACTAGAATGATGCGGTTTGTTGCNGCATGCAATACTTCAATCCATAATTATTTGGATGGTAGTCATTTGGTGCACATTTTCTTTGAAGTTGATATTCTGAGAGAGTTTTAAGACGACTGTCATCCTGATAATCGCTACATTCTCAACGGCATCAACNCCATGCAATACTTCAATCCATAATTATTTGGATGGTAGTCATCTGGTGCACATTTTCTTTTAAGTTGATATTCTGAGAGAGTTTTAAGACGACTGTCATCCTGATAATCGCTACATTCTCAACGGCATCAACAAAGCCGCAGCCGCGACAACTTCATTGTTCAACTTGAGCGGGAAGTGTTGAAGATCAGATCCCTTGATTATTGGATCAATCAATTTGCAGATCATTGTCTCTGCAAATCCCTACCATTATGGGATATAATTTTGATTATGTAAATCTCTATGATTATGGGATGTGATTCTGATTTGTTTCCATCCCCGTGATTGTAGGATGTGATTGTATTTTCATCCTACATATTAGGTGTGNGTCTCTGCAAATCCCTACCATTATGGGATATAATTTTGATTATGTAAATCTCTATGATTATGGGATGTGATTCTGATTTATTTCCATCCCCGTGATTGTAGGATGTGATTGTATTTTCATCCTACATATTAGGTGTGAATCATGTGTATTGGTCACCAAGCGTGAATGAGAATATGTATTCTATTAGGCTTTGTTTCGTAATGTAGGTCTTATAGATCGAACCACATAATCCCTTCGTGTTCTTGTGTTCTTCCACTTTATCTATTTTTATGAAATTTATAATCTCGTTTATTTAACTTGAATACAGCGTCTATATTAGCCTGTTTTCTCACAATCTTGATTTATGGTTTGGTTAAGTAACTAATGGTGATTACTCTGGTGTAATGTTTTTGTTGTCTGAAGCTTATTTCTTTCGTTCAATATGCCTTTACAGAGTATAATACTAATATTTCCTGAGTTCTTATTTCTTGCTTCTATTGCTTGAGTTTTGATTTCTTTCTTTCCATTAGGAATGTGCATCTCTCATCCTTTTGTAAATTTATTTCTTAGGTAAATTCCATCTATCCTGTGTTGATGCCCAACTAATCCTCAAAGAATTATCATTCTGTTCTCTTTGTTCCTTTTCTTTCCTCTCCTTTGCTTTTACTTCTAACTTCTAACTTTTTCTGATGATGATGTAGGAAATTTAGTAAGAAACGTGAACAAATCTAGTCAAAGACAAGGAAATCATACATTTAACATATATTTTTCTGCCCTGGTGGGTTAGGTTGGTTGAGGTCAGCTAATTAATGTAGGAGAAAAACATTTTTCCTTATTATGAGCCTACTTGGATTTTGAATAGAAGTAGAAAAAACAAAAATAAGAATGTAATTTTGTGGCAGAGTTTTCCAATTTCAAACTATAATAAACATATTTTATTAGACTGTGGCAACAAATAAAATTCATTCATTCTGTGAAGAAAAGGGTTCCTCAAACCTCCAAGAGAACTTCGGAATGCTAAACTAATATTCGAACAGCTGTGGCTCTAAACCTAGTGTACATGTAGAATACATTAACATACTCATGGACTTTCTTATGGAACCTTCTACATCAGAGAAGGGTCAAGGATGCCTTGACTTGTCACCTTGACTATGATTTCTAGGGCTTTCCTTACTTCAAGTGCCTTCTAGTTGTCACTATCACCAAGAGCCTGTTAGTAAGCTCTCTTGTGCAGTATGTTTCAGGCGCCTTTTGATAGCATATTCAAAAGTTGTTGGTTGTTTTTAAGAGCACGCACATGAAAAGTCAATTCCTCTGATATTCTAAAACTCGAATAGGTTGTTGTAAAGTATCAAGATTGTATATTATGTCCGAGGGAAATAAATCAGTGTGTAGAGGTCATTGTGGGTTTATTGTTGAAATTGAGCTTGAAAATTTACAGTTCTTTTCAATTCCATTTTGCATACATTACATACGCAGCCCTACATGGTGACTTGTCACAATATCCATTTAGTTAGACATTTCTGAATTCTGATTTACGCAAGAATTCTTTTTGTTGATATATAAATATTATGCAGAATTGCTTGCGAACAGCTGGCCTTGCCTTTTTTCCTAGTGATTCTAAATTGGACTATTACTAGATTTTATTTGTTCTCTTTAGGATATAATGGTTAGTGTTGTATTATGGAGGTATGCTGCAATATTATGCAGAAGAATTGAGAACTAAACTATTTGCCAATAAGAATCAAAATTTCATTTCGAAACGGTCGAGACGGCCTAAACATTTTCTTTTTAAGGAGAGTGAAATAAATTAATGATTGAATCAAAATTCTACTGTTTCAAGGTATTTTGGCAGTGTCCACAATTATTTTAGAATATTTCGAGTTGTTTCAAGATGTTACAGTATTTTTCAACCAATGTTATGAAATGTTTTGGAAATAATTCTCAAATATTTTATTTGTTTTTCGAAACGATTCTATTTCCTAGGTGACTGAAACATTGTACCGAAACAAAATTTTGATCCTTGCTTGCCAATGTAGTCATCATCTGATAGGCGAGGATCAAAAGTTATTTCGAAATGGTCGAAACGACCGAGGCATTTCCATTTTCATGGTGACTATAAATAGCGATTGAATATCGAAATTCTTATATTTTGATGTGTTTCAAAATGTTTTGAGGTAATTCGAGATGTTTTGGTACGTTTCGACCAATGCTTCGGAAACAAATATTCAAATTTTTTCTACGTATCCATTATGTTCCCGAANTAAATAGCGATTGAATATCGAAATTCTTATATTTTGAGGTGTTTCAAAATGTTTTGAGGTAATTCGAGATGTTTTGGTACGTTTCGTCCAATGCTTCGGAAACAAATATTCAAATTTTTTCTACGTATCCATTATGTTCCCGAAACATTACCAAAAAAAGTATCAAAACGAAAATTTGATCATGACTGAATGCCGATAGTGTTGAAAATGAGCCACGCTAAGCCAAGTCAAGTCATTACTTGCTCAAGCTAGTCTTGCTGGGTGTTTGAGCTATATGCTTCAGCTCAGTTGTCTTTTAAGCTTGTTCATTTTCAGGTCACATGCGCGGTAGATAAATATGCTTGTCTTGACTTGATTTGGGGGATGCAAACATAGCAGCCCTAAAATACCTTCCACAGAGTCTTAAAGTTGGAAAACCTCCATTTTGAGACTGCTACACTGTCTCACTGATTTAGTGACATATTGATTTTTAGTGGCAGAGTTGGTGAATTAGTGGATTCGAACTATGCCATTATGGAAGGTATTCCAGGGTTAAATTACTTCTTCTACCAGCGCTGGAGACTGGACAAATCATTTGAAGCATTAAAAGCTGGAGAAGTTGCCTGAAAAGGAAATATTCCATGGGCTTGCTCTACGATGGAACTTAGAGTCAGTGGAATGAAAGAAGAATGATGAACTTGTATTGCAATTGATTTGTCTTTTAATTTTATTTGATAATTACTCAGAGCAAGGCTGGAAATCTCATGATTTTTCATGCAGTTATAGTTTTTTTATTTACTTCTCTTTATTGATTCATTTATTGTCCTAACAGTAAAGAATGGATACTATAACTAATGAAAAATTTGATCCAATATTTGGCAACGGTTGTGCATTATAGATGTTAACCATAAATTAGACTGGGGTTGCTGGCTTGGATATTTGTAATTCATTATATTTCAAGTTTTGTTTAGGTTATTAGTTTAATTCTTGACGTAAACAATTGAAGTGCTGTCATTATCTGAATACAGACCGGTTCTGATGGTCTCCCTTTCAGAAGTGCATTCAAAAATGTCATCTTTCGCAGAAGTTTGCACTTGGATATTGAGAGACCCCTTGCTGTCATTCAGAATAAGTTGGACCAGGAAGGTAATTTTCTCAGTTCTAAATTAGCGTCTTTGTCCATTGTTGTAGTCTTCAATTTGAACCTTGCCTTGGGCATATTTTGAATGCAAATGACGATTGTAATCATATGCAGTCATCGTACAATTCAAAGTTTGCTGCCCAAACGTAGGAGAAGAAACATCAGTAAAATCTCAATTCCCCAGATGGACGTTACTCATTTATCTTTGTTGCTTATTTAGGTTGTTTATGATCTCATTAGTATCTTATTTACGAAGTCAGACTCAAGCTTTTATGAATTTCTGCAGATTTATGTGATCGGCAATGCTTTGAAGCTGGGGCTATGGAAGGTTCAGGATGGACTTGAGCTCAATTATGCTGGTGAATCAATGTGGCAAGCAGATTGTGTCATGCAAAAGGATGATTTTCCTATTAAATATCCTTTTGGTTGCCTTTTGTTTCATATTATACAGCATTATGAGTATTGTTTGTTAAATGGTATTTGGCTCTTGTATCTCTCTGTGTCCATCTTCCTTAACAGCTCTTTCACGTACAAATACAGTAAATATGGCAAGGCAGGGAACTTCTCTCTAGAAACTGGTCCCAACCGGGAGCTCTTTGTTGACTTCTCAAGTAGTCAACCAAAATGCATTATTGTTTCAGATGGCATGATGCGAGTAAGGTGTTGAATAGATATCTGTTCTAGGTAAACTCGTCCTTGAGAATGAAGTCAGAACTGAAAAGAATAGTGGTGATATTTATTTTGTTAGGAAATGCCATGGCGAGGTGCTGGCTTAGCGATTCCCATGTTCTCTGTTAGATCAGAGGCCGATATAGGAGTTGGAGAATTTCTTGATCTGAAGTTACTTGTCGACTGGGCTGTTGAGTCTGGCTTCCATTTGGTTCAGCTTTTGCCTGTTAATGACACATCAGTGCATGGTATGTGGTGGGATTCATATCCATACAGGTATGGTTTTAGCTTCATGGTTTTAACATCAGAACACATGGACAAACTTGTGTATCAAATTGTTTGCCTCTTTGGCTTTCAGCTAAAATTAGAGTAAATACGTTCAAATACATCTGTGAAGTTGCCGACTATCAAAACTTTTTTTTTCCCTGATTTTTTCCCACCTTTCTGGAACGTTGTGCAATTTGAATAGTATAACCTTAGTGCTTGTGCACATACCCTTAGTGGTTCACACACTTAATGATGTTTTTGTTTTGATTTGTTACTAATCTTATTTGTTTTTCTTCATAATTTTACATGTTTTTAGTGGCTTAGGGTTTTTTAGGGACTTACAGTGTATATGGAGATTCAAATTTTGCTATAGATACTTTTATCTGGCTACATCATATATTCTTCTTTTTTGTGTTTCTGTTCATGCAGCTCTCTATCTGTATTTGCATTGCATCCATTGTATCTGAGAGTGCAGGCACTTTCTGAAAGTATACCAGAAGAGATCAAGGTAGTCATTATAATCTTTTCACTTAGTATTCAAACACTTATCACAATGTGTTTACCTGACTACATGCCAAGTTTTGATTCTCTGCTCTAGTGAACTTTATATTTCTGTTAGTTTAAAATGACTCGAATCCCCCCTCCCCCCAATGCTTTATGCAGCAAGAGATAGAGAGGGCCAGAGTACAACTGGATGGAAAGGTAACCTTCCTGTTATTGTATTCTGTTGGTTTTAGCTATGTTCAATCACGATGAAAGACGTCTAGTAATTTGTCAAATATTTCGATTTGAACTCTTGATTATGATGTATTACTCAAATTCTTTACAACTTACAGCTTCATGAGGAAACAGCTTAAACATCTTATAGAATTTGCATGTAAAGTTCACTTGACCAGATAAAGTCATCCAAAATGTAAAATTTCTTTGTCCCCTTTGAATCCTTCTCCTATAACTTGACCATCATTGCCAATCTTTCAATCTACTATTACTGTCACTCTTGTCGCCACCGGCTCCTCTTTCTTGTACATTTTTTCTCGTCTCCCCATTTTTTGAATTTTGTTCTGTGAAGATTTAGCTTCTTAATTGGGTTTAAGCTTTTTCGCAGTGAGCCAATCCTCCTTTTGTCACCTTTCCTGGAGGGATTCCTGAGAGACATCTGCATATGCAAGGACTTAAAGAATTGGAAATAACTCTAACCTGTAGCCCAAAAGTGATGAAACCTGCAAATCATTGAAATTTCTGTTCCACAAGCCAGTCAAGAAATCTGTATTGCTTCATTCTGTGCTGCTACAAACAAGGATTGAAATTTCGTTTCGAAGTACCGTTTCGGTCAGCTAAAAAATGGAAACGTTTCGGAAACATTTCGGAAATGCAATGTAAACGCATAAAAAATATGGAAACGCATAGAAACACAAATACAATCCATTAATTTATAAAGATAAGCTAAATAATTGATTAATTCAACATATTTATTGGGTTAACATCCATTTATACAAGAATAAATTTAAATTTAAGGGAAAAAAAGGCTTGACATGAGGCGAAATTCACTTAAATTAGTTTCAAACACTTAATTTTTATGAAATAAACACATTTTTACATAATATTAAGGTCTTATAATACACATAAAATGCTAATGAGTACATACTTACATGGCTACATCCATCCCCTTGTGGAGTGTCGACCAGACTCATACATCGGTGTAAGCTCTGGGTAGCTACTTAGAGAAACTCCATATGTGCCATAAATATGATGACAATAGTTACTCCAACTCATATTATTACGGTAATATTATCCAATTAATAATACTATTTTATTATAATACTAATAATGGAGGGTATCAAATTAAATTAATGGTACTTATGTATACTTAAAAATTAAATGTAATTGCAGTGGGTATTAAATGTAATTACTAATACTTATAACAAAAAAAAAGAAGAAGCAAAATACTTGCACAACAATGGGGTATTAAATATAATTACAGTAGGTATTAAATATAATTACAATGAGTATTAAATATANCAACAAAAAAAAAAAGAAGCAAAATACTTGCACAGCAATGGGGTATTAAATATAATTACAGTAGGTATTAAATATAATTACANAAGAAGCAAAATACTTGCACAACAATGGGGTATTAAATATAATTACAGTAGGTATTAAATATAATTACAATGAGTATTAAATATAATTACAGTAGGGTATTAAGTGTAATTATTTTTTCTTATAACAAAAAAATTATAAAAGGCAGAAGAGCAGTGGGAATTAAATGTAATTATAGTGGGGTATTAAATATAATTATAGTGGGTATTAAATATAATTACAGTGGGTATTAAATGTAATTATAGTGGGGTATTAAATAATAAATATAATTATTCATAGTGAATCGAATATATTACTGTTTCATCGAAACGGTCTGAAACAGTGCCGTTTAGACCGAAACGGTCCGAAACAGTACCGTTTCGACCGAAACACTGGAATATTGTGATTCAACTATTGTTTCGTTTTGGAGTGTTGAAATTCCGAAACGTTTTGAACGTGTCGACACGACATTTTGATCCTTGGCTACAAAGTCACTTAATAAAATATGAAATACAATTTAACTGCATAAATTAAGAGTTTCTACTGATTTGGTGATCTTTATTTGTTTGATAATAATCTTATTTAGTCGTTCTTCACTGGTGTTTTCTTGTATCATGTGACTCACAAGGACAATCAACTACGTTGCGATTTTATATTTCAGTGTTGAGATGTGTTGCTCAAAGATGAAATACTTGACATTCTTCAGTTGCGTCTCAGAAAGTCATTGATCTAACTTTACAAATGTGTTTTTATTTGCTTTTAGGATTGCTAAAACTCAATGTTATATTCTATTTATAGTTTATACTCTTGATTTTTTTCATAGCATGGGTGGTGTTGGTTGGAATTGTTCCGTGGCCAGTGGTCGGAATAATTTGAAACTCAGCCAAATTGCAGATTGCAAAATATGACCTAAGAAACTCGAAGATCATTCAAAATTCGAAAAACACCTCGGTTGATTTAAAAAAATTTCAGAAAAATTATCATCATACTTGGTAGGCAAAAACAATTCAGACATGTTGGTTTTGGAAAATTCCAGCAGTGACGTCATCATTCCGACGATGATGTCACCAACACAACAGCCTCCCAACGCCTTCCTGAATATTCCTATAACTTGAATTTTTATTTTATTGCTTTGATAACAAGCTAAAATCTAAAAATCTAGGTTTAGAGAGGAGAAGAGGCAAGAGAAGAGAGAAGAGAGAAGAGAAGGAAGCGATTAGCAAATAGGGTTAAGGAGAGTGAGAGTTAACCTGCCTCATCTCTCATCACCTGCATTTATATTAACTCATAATAAAGTGAAGATTACAACAATGCCCTCAATTAAAATAACCTAACATTTTACACTTTCCTCATAAGAGCACAGAAAATAGCTTCTCTTACAATTAGGGGTGGTAATCGAGCTTAATTTACACATAAACGAGCTGGCTCGTTTAATTATTTACACATAAACGAGCTTAAAAAAATGTTCAAGTTTGGCTCGTTTATCAGCCCTACTTACAATCATCATAGGACTATCGATTTTAGCTGCCAACAGGCTTTTGTTGGAGAAATTAATTAACTTAAACACTTTGTGCATGTGGGTGGTCTGATTCTCCTTTCTATAAAGAATCAAAATTTCGTTTCGATGCATTATTTTGGTCACCAGAGAAATAAAAACATTTCAAAAATGTTTTGCAAACATTTTTGAAATAGAATGAAAGCGAATAAAAAAGTTTGGAAATAAAATTTCAAAATATTCCGAAACATTGGTCAAAATATACTTAAGCATCTTGAAACACCTCAAAACATTTTTAAATATTGGTGGAAACATTTTGAAACATCTTAAAACACCTTGAACCATTCCAAAATATATCTTGAGGCATTGAAATTTTGATTCAATTATTAATTCGTTTCGGTCTCCTTGAAAACGGGAACGTTTTAGCCGTTACGACAAATTTTGATCCTTGCTTTCAATCAAGCATACGGATTGGACAGGTTGATTTGTATACACTGTTTAGAGGTGTTGATTTATGCTTCCTCCCTGATTGAACATTCTCTGTTCATCTTTCTGATCATCGCTGAAAATGTAGCAGATGTCAATCTCTTTAATTCCATTTTGTGCTTTGATTGCTGATCAGCTGATTCTTAGCCGCCTGGACTGCATCATAATGGGTCTCTAGAGGAGATCGCCTCTGATAAAAGACACTCATTTGTAATTCTATTGTGAATTGAGTTTAGTCCATAATCCTTACACCAGATATTGATTAAAAGACAGGTATTTGGGTCTCAAAAATATAAAACCAAGATCATATATCTACACATAAGTTTCTGAACTGATCAATGACAAGAAGTACAGTTATAATGATAATTGAAATGCATAAATTTATTTATTTTTCATTGTTCCTACCATTTATTTATTCAGGTTCAATTCTTCGCAGGATGTAGATTATGAGGCTACCATGGCTGCAAAGCTCTCAATTGCTTATAAAATTTTTGCCCTAGAGAAGGATTTGATACTAAATTTGAGTTCCTTCCTAGAATTTTTTTCCGACAATCAGGTTATTCATAGTTTTTAAAGTATAATTCTACATTTTGTGCTACTAGTTCCCTAAAATTCCTTCCTAAAGCATCTCTCCCCCTCCCCCCAACACGAACAAAATCCAAAACATTTACAGGTTTAAATTCATCTGAATTCAGCATTTGTCCAGTTCAAAATTCAACTGCAATTCAAACAATAAGTTTTTCCTATTTGATTGGCACAGGATTGGTTGAAACCCTATGCGGCCTTCTGTTTCTTGCGTGACTTCTTTGAAACATCAGACCACAGCCAATGGGGTCTTTTTTCTAACTTTTCAAGAGATAAGGTAAGCATGGGTTTCATTTTTTTTGGTCAGGTGAGAAATTCATTGTTTGGGGCTGTGTCAAGTAGTTAAATCGTTGATAGTGAATATGCGTAGATAATCAAATTGAATATGTGTAGTTAATCAAAAGTTCGAGCTGACAGTGAAATGTTAATATGAATCCCTTACATCTACACCCTAACGATTATATTGCTGTTTCTTCAGCTTGAGAAGCTTGTATCAATAGATCGATTGCACTATGACACAATTTGCTTTCACTATTACATCCAGTTCCATTTACATAGACAAGTACGTTGACTTAGCATTATCTCTATTATTTTTTGCATTATAAACCTGTATTGGAAAGAAAGACCTGGTGTCATATTGATTGATAATGACAGTTGTCGGAAGCGGCTGAATATGCAAGAAAGAAAGGAGTGGTGTTGAAAGGAGACCTCCCTATTGGTGTAGACAGAAACAGTGTGGACACTTGGGTTTATCCAAATTTGTTTCGCATGAACACCTCGACCGGTGCACCTNTTAACCTGCCTCATCTCTCATCACCTGCATTTATATTAACTCATAATAAAGTGAAGATTACAACAATGCCCTCAATTAAAATAACCTAACATTTTACACTTTCCTCATAAGAGCACAGAAAATAGCTTCTCTTACAATTAGGGGTGGTAATCGAGCTTAATTTACACATAAACGAGCTTAAAAAAATGTTCAAGTTTGGCTCGTTTATCAGCCCTACTTACAATCATCATAGGACTATCGATTTTAACNGGCTCGTTTAATTATTTACACATAAACGAGCTTAAAAAAATGTTCAAGTTTGGCTCGTTTATCAGCCCTACTTACAATCATCATAGGACTATCGATTTTAGCTGCCAACAGGCTTTTGTTGGAGAAATTAATTAACTTAAACACTTTGTGCATGTGGGTGGTCTGATTCTCCTTTCTATAAAGAATCAAAATTTCGTTTCGATGCATTATTTTGGTCACCAGAGAAATAAAAACATTTCAAAAATGTTTTGCAAACATTTTTGAAATAGAATGAAAGCGAATAAAAAAGTTTGGAAATAAAATTTCAAAATATTCCGAAACATTGGTCAAAATATACTTAAGCATCTTGAAACACCTCAAAACATTTTTAAATATTGGTGGAAACATTTTGAAACATCTTAAAACACCTTGAACCATTCCAAAATATATCTTGAGGCATTGAAATTTTGATTCAATTATTAATTCGTTTCGGTCTCCTTGAAAACGGGAACGTTTTAGCCGTTACGACAAATTTTGATCCTTGCTTTCAATCAAGCATACGGATTGGACAGGTTGATTTGTATACACTGTTTAGAGGTGTTGATTTATGCTTCCTCCCTGATTGAACATTCTCTGTTCATCTTTCTGATCATCGCTGAAAATGTAGCAGATGTCAATCTCTTTAATTCCATTTTGTGCTTTGATTGCTGATCAGCTGATTCTTAGCCGCCTGGACTGCATCATAATGGGTCTCTAGAGGAGATCGCCTCTGATAAAAGACACTCATTTGTAATTCTATTGTGAATTGAGTTTAGTCCATAATCCTTACACCAGATATTGATTAAAAGACAGGTATTTGGGTCTCAAAAATATAAAACCAAGATCATATATCTACACATAAGTTTCTGAACTGATCAATGACAAGAAGTACAGTTATAATGATAATTGAAATGCATAAATTTATTTATTTTTCATTGTTCCTACCATTTATTTATTCAGGTTCAATTCTTCGCAGGATGTAGATTATGAGGCTACCATGGCTGCAAAGCTCTCAATTGCTTATAAAATTTTTGCCCTAGAGAAGGATTTGATACTAAATTTGAGTTCCTTCCTAGAATTTTTTTCCGACAATCAGGTTATTCATAGTTTTTAAAGTATAATTCTACATTTTGTGCTACTAGTTCCCTAAAATTCCTTCCTAAAGCATGTCTCCCCCTCCCCCCAACACGAACAAAATCCAAAACATTTACAGGTTTAAACTCATCTGAATTCAGCATTTGTCCAGTTCAAAATTCAACTGCAATTCAAACAATAAGTTTTTCCTATTTGATTGGCACAGGATTGGTTGAAACCCTATGCGGCCTTCTGTTTCTTGCGTGACTTCTTTGAAACATCAGACCACAGCCAATGGGGTCTTTTTTCTAACTTTTCAAGAGATAAGGTAAGCATGGGTTTCATTTTTTTTGGTCAGGTGAGAAATTCATTGTTTGGGGCTGTGTCAAGTAGTTAAATCGTTGATAGTGAATATGCGTAGATAATCAAATTGAATATGTGTAGTTAATCAAAAGTTCGAGCTGACAGTGAAATGTTAATATGAATCCCTTACATCTACACCCTAACGATTATATTGCTGTTCTTCAGCTTGAGAAGCTTGTATCAATAGATCGATTGCACTATGACACAATTTGCTTTCACTATTACATCCAGTTCCATTTACATAGACAAGTACGTTGACTTAGCATTATCTCTATTATTTTTTGCATTATAAACCTGTATTGGAAAGAAAGACCTGGTGTCATATTGATTGATAATGACAGTTGTCGGAAGCGGCTGAATATGCAAGAAAGAAAGGAGTGGTGTTGAAAGGAGACCTCCCTATTGGTGTAGACAGAAACAGTGTGGACACTTGGGTTTATCCAAATTTGTTTCGCATGAACACCTCGACCGGTGCACCTCCTGACTATTTTGATAAAAATGGGCAGAACTGGGGATTCCCTACTTATAATTGGGAGGAAATGTCCAAGGACAATTATGCTTGGTGGCGTGCTCGTTTAACACAGGTTTCCTCCCTAGAACAGTAGTTTCAACCTTTTTTTCTTGTTCCCCCTCAACATTAATGTTCTTCGTTAAACAATATGCTATAATTTTTAACAAGGACTAAATGTTTGCGTAATTTTCTCTCTGTGTTGTGCACAGATGGGCAAGTACTTCACAGCTTATCGGATTGATCATATATTGGGTTTCTTTAGAATCTGGGAGCTTCCAGATCACGCAATGACGGGTCTTGTTGGGAAATTCCGACCATCTATCCCTCTAAGTCAGGTATAGACCTGCATTATTTGTTCAAATATCCTGTTCTCTAAGACAAGGAATGTAAGATCATTGTCATCGAAGATACAAAGAAACCTCTGTTTTGCCTTGACATGTGAATATGTGATCAATAACTGTTCTTGTTGTAGGAAGAGCTCGAAAGAGAGGGGATATGGGACTTTGATCGTTTGAGCCGTCCATATATTCTGCAGGAAGTTTTAAAGGTTAAACAGTTTCCCTTGTGGACTAAAAAATGGTTATTCTCAAATCATTGCATCTTTAGACAGATCCAGTTAGGTTTTCCTTTTATTGAAGTATTGTTTACTCTTTACTTCGTTATCGATGTTATTCACCCCATTTTGCATTTCAGGATAAATTTGGAGCTTCTTGGAATGTCATAGCTTCTAACTTCATGAATGAATATCAGAAAGACCGTTATGAGGTGATAGTTGTTGTTTAAAGGAAGACTTTTGATGTTCCATATTTTTCCTTTTGACATTGAATCATGGATTGATATTTATTGGATTTATAGCTTACTTTGAACATCCAAATGCTCTGTGAACTCAATTGAGCGATATTTCAGAGTATTTAAATGATAATGCTTCATGTAAAATTTCCTTTCAATCTATTGGTATTTTCAGTTATCTGTAAAAGAAAAAGCTGTTCTAGTATTTCAGGTTATAGATTTGCATGAAAATTCAATTAGGTGTTCTGTTAAAAATAAAAAAGTTGGACATCACCCACTGAACTCAACTCAATTCAATAAAGGCTTTATCCTTATTTTTTGAGGTCAGCTACTTGAATCATGTTTATCTATTGTGCTTCATGACGGACCATATTTTCTGTTAAACTTTGAGCTATCATATCTTTTTTGATTAATTTGTTCGAAGTTATTTGCGACCTATCTTTACCCCTCCTATTACCATCTATATGTTTCAAATCAATCTTCCTCTCTGATAAGTATGACCAAACCACATAAGTCAAGTCTCTGTTAATTTATCTCCTATTAGTGCTACTTTTTCGGTTCACTAATGCTCTCATTCCTAATTCTGTCATTTCTTGTTTTGCAACACATCCATCTTAAATTCTCATTTCTGCAGCACCTTTGTTTTGAGCTTGTTGTTTCTTAATTGTCCAACATTTGTACCATAAAATGTTGTTGGTCTAATGACTGTCTTATAAAATTTACCTTTCAATCTTAAGAAGTATACATCGATCCCAATATACACCAAGAGTTATATAGGGGATTTAAGAGCCATATTGAATTAAAACACTCTAATCTGGTTATATTTGGATGTGAAAAACCACTTTGTACTATGTATTGAATTAATTTGATAATTATCTGACATATAATTTAATAACATTTATCTATACCATTGATCAAATTTTAATACCACTAGGAGATTAGGTATTATAATCCAACCCGGATGTATTATATTGCTATTGTACAACTTCAGCGTCCCCACAAATAAGAAAACAATGTGTCCATCTCTTCTTATTTATTTGGATAAAAATGTCTGGATACGTCGACCCTTAATATGGGCAAATAACTAAGGGACCCCCAACATTTTTTAAAATGACACGTCGACCCTTAATATGGGCAAGTTGTGAAAGACGCACATCATTTGCCTAATTGACATTCATATGAATAATGGTAAATAACACCATCAATAATAAACACATTCATATGTTCAAAAATACACCTTTATGCAATGAAAGCCTCCCTGTTTGAATCCAATATTATTTAAAAATATTTATTAGACAAAATGGTTATATAACTTCTGATCATATTTACTTGGTCATGCAAAATATTGATGCTCCACAAGTTAGATTGGAATAGATTGAAGGCATTTTAGCTAACTCAATATCAATACCATCAAATAAATGGCCTTACCAAAAAATAGATTGGACAAGATATATATTATCCCAATCTTACAACGAACCCTAATATAGGTCTACCGTGATTGAGAATTCACTACTTTTCCTTATGGTTGTTCTAACTAAAACACTACACTTTTGTATAAATCATATCAATATATCTATCTTTACACATGATTTTTTTTTGTTTTTACAACATTTTGGACATCATTACTCCCCAACCAAGTTTTTTTTTTGCTTACTAATGGTCCATTACTTTTTGATTATCAAAGAAATATTTATATAATCAATCAGCTAACAAGTTAAATCTTTATCCCCTATACATTTTTCCCCCCAAAAAATCACATCATATAATTCTATCACATGTTAATATTTAGTTAATTTGTAGTTTAACATAACTTTTATTTCATACATTATTTATATACGATAGTGTACACATGTTGAAAACATTTTATCGAGTTATGCATTTTGAGAAAATTTTGACGCTATTTTTAAGAAAATAATAGGTAGAAATTAATTTTAAATAATGTAAGCAAATAAATTAATTTTAAATTTAGTATAGTGGACTAGAATCTGATGTTTTTTCGTGTCTTCAGGCATGAGTTATTATTATTCTGTTGATATCTTTTGATACATTTTACCGTCTTATTCCACATTACATTAGTCTCATTTTCTAAATTTCATGTTATCACTTTTATTATTTTATCCTTGAATAAAACTAACTTTTCTTCTTTTAATCTTCCCCACCTAGGTCTTGGGTTTTTTACATATTTTCTTGGTGTTGAACAAGTTTTAATAGATATGTTTAATACCATTATCCTATGTTGTGTAATTAAATGCTCTGCTAGAATTACCTTACAATTCTTACATGATAAGTGTTTGTCGACTTATATTTAATCCACACTTAAAGGTTATTAAATATTCATGTCTCTTTTTGAAATAGGTGTTTGCTATCATGAGGCTATATGCCACTATAAAATCTAAAATAGACTCCCCAACATCATTTTTATCTCCTAGTCCATGTCCACCATGAACCATCTCATGCCCTCTAGTCTTGTCTTATATAACCATTAAAGTCTCCTCTAGTGCTCTCTCTCCTATAGGTATTTCTCCTATTCATTCATTCATATGTTCCCAAAACTGAGTTTGAATAACCTTGTCCTAATATTTTTGGAGTCAACAAATTGGTGAGTAGGTGCAACAACGGGGCAGTTTTATAGATATTATAGTGCTTAGAATCTCAAAACAACATAAAAATACTATCTCCCAACATGAAATAACCACTAGAATTTGATGGAAAGATAGGAAGTGCGGACAAGAATATTAGATACGACTACGATACGATACGATACGGATACGGCGATGTGACAAAACTCTAAAAAATAGGATACAGGTACACCATGATACCTTTATTAATATATACTTTATATTTTTATTATTATATAATGAATTGATAGATATAATTTTTAGTGGTTCTTTAACAATAATAAATAGCATTAACAATTTTTTATTTTAATTTTTTTTCTATCGTTATACTGTGGTACATTTACAAAGTGAACGTGATTAATTAAAAAAATAAGAACCAATATTTCACTATATTGTTTGCGGAGAAGTATTTATTTCTAAGATTATAGAGTAATCAACTCATTTAAACTCTTTGGACGTCTGATAATGGATAATACTTAGAAAACGCCCATGTGTCTTCAAATTCATATGAATTTTTGTTGATATGTTGTATTATATGTGAAAATTGAAATGAAAAAATACCCAAAATAGCCCTTACTTAGGTGCAGCTAGGCCAATCTTGGAACAAAATTGAAATGAAAAAATGCCGTTCACTAGTTTTTTGTACACACTAAATTCACACACACACACACATATATATGTCATTTGCGCCATTCTTCCCCGGTTAGAAAGAACTCGCCTCCGTGTGAGTTGCCATTTTTTGCCCCTTGACAATTCTTAGGATCAATGCTTAGAAATTCGGCTTCGCTTATCCATGAATTCTCAAACCCTGGCTTCCTGACCCATTTGATAAGGAATCGGAAGTAGGAACCTTACTAGTCTTGATTTCCTGCACTTAAACCATGAGGGTGCTCAACTTTATATACACACTCACCCAATTTACCTAAGATTTTATCAGGAATTTTTTGCTATTGATCTTGTTATAAGTACCTAATGGAAACCTTTCTTTTTGAAGGAAAATCATGACCCAATTCCCAACTTTGTACTCTTTGAGCCTTCGATGATTNTCTCACCCAATTTACCTAAGATTTTATCAGGAATTTTTTGCTATTGATCTTGTTATAAGCAAAGTTGTTAGTATCGTACGATACGCGATACGTATCGTACGATACGTTACGATACAGCCCTAAAACGATACGGATCGTAGTTATGTATCGTTTTTGCGTTGTATCGTCCGATACACGATACGTTTTTACGATACGATACGTATCGGTACGATACGCACGATACGTGCAATTTTTTTTTTTTTTTTAAAAACGACGTCGTTTTGTGCTCTGATTTTTTTTTAAAAAAAACGACAAGTGAAGACTTGTTGGCATCCGATCACAATGATGATGATGATGATGCATTTTCAATTGAAATTGAAGATTGAGTTCAAAATGGATGTTAGAAATTTGGATTAGAAGTCTCTTTGGTGTTTAAAGTTTGAATTAGTGAACTATGGTTGTGAACTTTGCATTATAATAGTAGTGGATTATGTTGATAACTTGAATAGTTGGTGGAGTATTAATGAAATGCTATATTTTTTATGAGTGTATGACTTTTTTTCAAAGGTATATATATTTTTTTATTATTTATTTAAAATTGCATCGTATCTTACGATACACGATACGATACA